TGTTTAAAACATCGTTAAAATTGACATCGATATATCGCCAATTTTACTATGTTGAGTAATTTTCAAATATCGATGGTAAACATCGGTTTTTTGGCCGATGTTATCGATGTTTCAGAAATATCGATGCATCGTTTGCATCCCTACTGGCAGGGATAAATTTAAGTGTAGCGTACTTTCAGGGCGCACAGTTATGCCTAATATACTACTGAGAGCAACTTCTAAATGACCTGTTTGCTCTCCACAAAACTTTTTCTAAGCCCAATGACCACACCGGAATGTCGAGGAATGCTTTAGGGACTTCGACAATATTGGGTGTGAATTTTGTTCACCTCTTCCTAAAGCGGCCTCAAGTTCAAAGAAGATTCATATTCTTCTCTTCAAGTTATAAACCCATCAAAGAGCTATCAAAAAGAGCTATAAAAAAATAAAAATATATTTTAGTACTAAACAATTCTACTACATTTATTAAAACCTATTTCCTCCTATTTTATTTGCAGGAGTCCGGCCAATCCATCACCTCGCGTGTTTTCGAGGGCTGCGGTCGTCCAACGCTGGGTCGCACGCGTCGCTCAATCAATCCTAAGTTCACACAACACACATCCGCTCCGCTTGCACGGCAACGGCTTTCTTCTGTGAGCCTAAGCAGTTCAGATTCTAAAGTGATACGTAAGCGCGCCACCTTGGAGGTACCAACAGAACAAATCGAATCCGATATTTTAGATATCGATGCCGACGTTGATGATGAAATTGTGTTGCGGGAACGGCGCGCCGCTGACCCTGGCTCAGAGGAGCAGAGCGCTGGAGGTGACAAGTCGAACGGCAGCTCTAATGGTGGCGGTAGCAGCGGCGGTCGTCGTAATCAACAGCGTCGCAAGCCGCAGCAGAATCGCAAGAATGATGACGACTTCAATGGGCGCGATCCGAATCTCGATAAGCTGGTGCGCGAGATTAGACAACGCGTGAAAGAATCAAAGAAATTCTGGTCGAATTTGCCGCATCAGATTTGCAGCAATGACGAGATCTCTACATCGTCGGACGTGGATGGCATGTGCTGGAATGGAAACACAATCGACAGGTGAGTCTTGCGCGTATATTTACTCTATTCAAATTTGTATTAATACTTGTATTTCCGCTACTCCATAGGTACATGCACCCCGTAACCACCGAACAGACCCGCAATCCTGAATTCCCTGGCAATCCGGCGTCAACACGTCAGATCTCGCAAGTTGCGACACAACTCTTCTACCTGAAGAATGTCATTAATCATCTGCGTAATGCCTACAACGGACAAGATGTGGAATGGAGTGATCATGGTCAGCGCGCTACAAAGCATATTCATACTTCTATTCGTCCAGCATACTTACATCTCTTATCTCCTTATTTCAGAAGATGCTATCGATGGCAGCGGTGCTGGTTCAGGTGCTGGCAGCGACGATGAGGATGACGACGAGGGATCTGGCCTAAGCGGCGGTCCGTTTACACCCCCCCACCTTAAACCTACCGATCGTCCGTCGGTGCCAGCGAACAACATCGATGACGAGGATGGAGATGACGTAGAAGAGCGTCGCATTACGGACACTTCACACACAACGCGCCCCAAATATCCTGGTAGTACGGGTGGTGGTGCCGCCGCAGGCGGTGATACGAACACCATTGAGGAAGAAGAGGAAGATGATGACGACGACGACAATGATTTGGATGCGGACAAGGACAGTGGGAGTGCGGGCGCGAAGACGGCGCCTAAGATGACATTGCGCCGTGCGCTGCTGATGTATCTACTGCCGCTGTATATGGCGTGGTTTGGTGGCTGTGTTGCCGATATGCTGTGATTCGTTGTTGTTGCTGTTGCTTGAGGCAAATAAAGGACCTTGACTGGTTTAGAGGCGTAGGGGATGTGCCGAATTTTTTGAATTCTAAAAATTGTTTTGGGTAGTGATTAAGCGGCAGCCGGTTTCGTATGGCTGATGAGGTTATTGATGATAAGTAGGAAAGTGCATGGCATGCATTTCGTTGCATAATTTTAGGCGCATATGCTCTTTGCAGTTAGAGCGTTTTAAATGCCCAGTGGCATTGAGTGTGTGACAAGTTTTTGGGAATTTAATGAGTTTTCACTATCCTTTTAGGCGCTTCTGGAGAATATGTACGTTTTGTGCGTTGCGAATAAACTACTTTTACTAAAAATTTTCACTACTTTTAGGCGCAGCCAATTTTCTAGTTTCCTAAGTTTGCCAATTTAACTGCATGCCTTTTTGAAACTACTTTCTATTCCTCAAGACTTGCTTGATTTACTACATACGCTTAACTCGTTTTTACAGGTTGAATTTCAAAACTTGAATGTTTATGAAAATTTTCTCTTTAGAGATATGTACGTAAAATTTCTTTGTAGCATACTTTTAGTGCTTCAACCAACTCAAATCTCGAACAAATACCCAGTAACGAAATATGCTGAATAAAAATCTACTTTTAGGCGCATTTCTATGAAAATATTTTTTACTAATTTATGCACAACAAAACAATTGCAAGAACAAACATAGATTTATCATTACAAACGAATAATTTAAAAAATGAACTTTAAGCGAAACAAATCATTTATATACGTAAACAATGTAGCAGTTATAAAAAAATTAGTTAGCTATTAAGCACAAAGTAATACATAATTAAAACAAAATTAATACGTACATATGTATGTACCAGCAGTTAATATTATAAAATTATAACAAAAACGACAAACAAATGTGTATGTAAAGCCGCGTGTATAACTTATATCAATGTATGTTTGTATGTGTAGAGCAAGTGTTTGTAATTGAAAGAGTGTTGCTAACTGTGAGTCTGAACTACCGTGCGTGTGTGTGATTCCAACTTTTTTTTGTAACTCTTTGTTTTTTTTTTTAATTGTAGAGCAAGCATTTAAATGCATTTTTCTGTATTATATTTAAACTATTATTAAATCGAAAAATAAATGTGGCGAATGTTGAAGAGTGTAAGAGCATTTTAGGCGCAATAACAACCTGTATTTATCATGTAAGCATATTTACTATATAATAATTATGAAAATTTTCCAATAAATAATTTGTAATTGGAAACTTTGTCGCATACATATGTATATTTTGGGCTTTTAAAATATAAAGTATAAAGAAGTGGGTGAGAAAAAAATTAAGTGACAAAAAGCTAAATAAATAAAAAATAAAATAAAAATTTAGATTCTGTAATCTAAGCATTACGGCATTTTAGGGAAGTCTTAGAATATGAAGAAGTAATTAGCTGATTCCCGTAACCTAATAACTTCAAAACTCTATATTCGAAAATTAGGGTTTTAAAACATTTTCGAAACTGTGAAGTTTTCATAACCTTTTTCTTCTGGTTGAAGGAATGCGACTTACAATATCATACTTGCATAAACATTCATATACATACTTGTATTCAGACTAAATGAAAAAAGCAATTAAGTATATGCATATTTTGGAAAAAAACACGAGTGAGCCTTTATTAAACACTTTTTTTTATATTCCGATTTTGTTAAAAAGGCGTTAAGTAGTGTTAAAAATGCCGAAACATCCACGTACATATGTAAGTATGCATATTAGGGTGGTTCAAACAAAGAAAAGGTGGAACTTTAATGCCGCCACCCCCTAGGATTGTTTTATACCCGAAGCAATATTTCCGATCGAAAAATATTGATTTTAAAAAATTCCATACCATTTCTACGAAAAGTTTTTTCCCCATTTAAAATACATTGAAATTTTTGAGCGCTTTCAGCACTCTAAATGGGCATATTTTTTCGGAATAGAACAACCCTAGGGCTGGCGACATTAAAATTCCGACCTTACTTTTTTGACTACATAAATGCATATATTACCAAAATTTTACCCATTGCAAATTTATATATGATCACTTTTAAAATGATGTCCCATGGAATAAGTAGTAGTAAATAGTTTAGAAATATCTTTGCAACCTTCAGCTGTCAGACAATAATTATATCCCCACAATTCACCACTAATTCTTTTACAAAATTTTATTTTATTAACAATACACTCTTAAAAAAAAAATTTTTTTTTGTATTTTAGACAGTCGTTATTACGGTTTTGATTTTCTAACTTCTATTTTCTTATTTTTATTCAACAAACATAAAATCCATTTCACTCTAAGTCTTTTTTTATTTAAGTACACACCCTACCTGTCGAAGCAACTGCGTATACGTAACTAATATATAAAATTGTTAAAAATTAAAAAAATTACCGACCAAATTTTAACGTAAATAAAAACACGTAAAATATTAAAAACTAAAAGTTTATTAGGCTTTCCCTATTTAAATGTTCATTTTTGCCTCCTGCAAAAAAATTAGTTCTCATTGATAGAGCCTACTTTTCAGTGCTCATCCGCGAGACCTTTTCAAAAATATATTTTCTTTTGCTGTCTTTCATTCTATAAAATAATATAAATGTATTTATTATAAAAATATGAATATCAACACGTTAATAACCTATAAGCGGGAATTAGTATTAGTTAAAACACGTAGTTATGACCCCTTTTTAAATTATATAGTACATAATATGTATCGAACTAAAAAAACAGCCATTAACTCATCTTCTTTAATTTATGAACACATATACATATGTATGTATATGTACATGTATTTAGCATATGAATGTAAAACAGAAACTTACGAGGAAGAGTAGAAGAGAATGTGATGATTATGAAAATTTAAAAAATAAACAAGTAAATGTATACGGAATGCAAAAATGAGTTTTCTTATTACAAACTGAGTAATATTAAGCCAAAAATTTAAAACTCTGCTTGAGTTCCAAGCTGCAGGCGTCTTTCAAGCATAAAGCAACCCGACTTTAAAAATTGATGTCGGTATGGGACAGAACTATTACTGTGACGGCTATAGCTACAATTTTTGCAATATTCATTTATGCCTATTCAGCGTAGGCAATTTTAAGAGCCTGAAGCCGGCTTATCAGCTAATTATTCAAAATAGCTGCACGTTACGCTACAACAGCACAAACATTGAGTTTTCAGTTTATCTAAAAGCAGATCTGTAAGTATTTGCTATTCACTTACTTACGTGGAGCTTTACGAGAGAATCTACCAGAATTTGAAGTAACATACACATTTTTTTAAAGAAAAAAGCATTATTTTGTTATTAAAAAATATGTATGTATGCATATGTATTTATTTGATTTTCTCAAAAGACTAATACAAAACATCAATATAATTCAATAGTCGTTTGTACGTACATGCTAAATAAATAACATTTTAAATTCATCCACGTACATTTGTTTATATAAAATTACTAAAAAATAGGAAGTGAAAAAAGGGCGTTACAGAGCCGCCAGCCTATTAGTTATGTGTTTGCACAGCAGTTTTTTTCTCATACATATGTATTTACATATATACGCATACATAGTATTTCTAGAACAGTAGACATTCAACAAGTTGTGGTATGGATATTTGAGCATATAATTTATTGAATTAAAAAATATATAATTTGTATGCTCCTACATTTAATAAAAAAAGTACTAAATTTGTGTAAAAGGAAACTTAAGGTGCTCCAGCCACATATTAATTGCTAAGAAATTAGCATTTTCAAACCAAAACTAGACATTTGCTGCTCTAAATTCTAAAAATTCAACACCTATAAAAACCGGATGGGTCTAAAATTGGTACCGCCATTATGTTGCTGCAACAAGTATGTAGTTTTCAAAATTTACATTTTTGGTGTTGGTAGCCAGAACGCTTGAAGGCTAGTTAAATTTACGCCATAGAAGGCTGCCACTGGCACTCACATATGTATACACATACGGTTCTGATGCAATTTATTTACATTTCGACGGCTGGACGCGTTTTGATGTACACAAAGACAATGATGAGCAACGCAAATACGCAAACTGCCGGCAGGACTACCGTCTTAAGCTGATTTTGTATGGCCATATTCTCCATTTTGCGCTCCTTCTTCTGTTTGCGTGTCTCCTTCACTTTACCGCGTAGCTGTCGCATTTCGCTAGCAAATGGGGGCCTGTGAGGGGGTTAACGAGGATTCTGCGAGAACAAATATATTTTATATATAGTCAATTAGTATCGTTATACAGCTTTTTCATAAACTTACTAGTAAAACAGGTGGACAATGTAGGAAAAAATAATGAAAATAAATGAACTATCGGTGGACTGCTTGCTCCAACCACTTGTCGTACGTATTTGACGTTTGACAACGTCAACAAAATTTTGGCTACAGCGAAAGTTGGGGCCGCACAATGTTGCCTCGCTTGAAGAATTTGCCCTTACCGGCTGACGGGAATAATTAGTTGAAACATTTATTGGCATTCAATGCACGTTTAATAAAATTAAAAAAAAAATCCTGAATAACATTTTTTTTTATTATTATTAAACATTTTCATCGAAGAAACTGAACGCAAAACGTATGCTGCTACAAGGGCAACCCAAAGCTTCAATAAGGCGTTTTGATGGACTAATGTTTTATGGAAATTAAAAACAACAAAAATATTGTTAACTACTATTTGGTCAGATTTAGAATAAAGTAATTGTTTACTACAGTTAAAATTTAACTACTACACTATTCTACAGGTGAATTTACTTCGCTTATTTCGTATTGTCCATGAAATCTTTTGCTTCGTTTATCTTGGCAGCCAAGTAAGGAGAACCACCACGATCGGGATGATTGAGCAACATGATCTTCTTGTGTGCATCTTTTATCTGTTAAGAATAATATCGTAAAGCATGCATAAAAGTTGATAATAAGTCGTATGTTCACTTACCTTCAATTTGGACGCACTAGGACTTACGCCCAAAATCAGAGAAGCCTCACGCTTATTCATTTTTGGATCGAAGCCTCCTTTGCAGTATTTCGAGTTCGCCAAGGTTTCTGCGTCAAATTTGGGTAGATTTTTCATAGTTTCGCTTAATTTTGTGGCCATAGCAGGCATGCGGCGCATGAGATGCTTCCCCGCAAAACCAACTGCAGCTAGACCTATGCCAGCAACTATTATCGAGCTTGCCTGCAACAGGAGAACGTTTTTAAGAACGCATGTAGGACTACGGAAATATATTCGGTCTACTTACCATTTTATGTAATGTGTAAAGAAATTTGTTTTCGTATATTCCTGGTAATTTCACAAATTACGAATTTGTTTTTACGATTTTTTTTTCTCATGTGTTCCAGAAACGTCAAAATCAGCTGTACGTGAACTACGGTGAGAGATGCCAGGTGACTAGAAAATGGCTTTGTTTCTTTTCTTTTTTAGCAGATAATTATCAGGAAGAAGATATGAGAAAAATTTAGAGAAAAATGCAGCGTTTTTTCTGCATTTAAAATGCAACATCTAGCACGTTCGAACATATTTTTTCGAAGAGCTTTCATGCTATCGCATTTGGTCGGTTTCACACTGGAACATTTCTAGCACGGGAACAACTCAGTTTGTTGGCAAGAGAGGCAGTGCGGTAAGGTAAAGTCTCTCAAAAAGTTATTCAAGCTTCTACCACGCATTAAGCTTGATATACAGTTCAATGCGAGCGTGAGTGTGAACTTTCGCAAAGGCAAAGAATTCAATTTGTATTCTCATGGACGCTCACACTCATCTGTAAAAACTTGCCTTTCACATGCGAATGCTTTGAGTACGCACACAGTGGAGTGTGAGCTCGAAAAAAAGCATATTATGCATTTTAAATTAGTTTTTATTCTATAGTTCTGAAATATATTTTAATTCACTATGTTTTCATTTCTCAACTATAGCAAAAAGTTGAGTAATAACGAAGATATTGATCAAAATAAAAAACTCACGCTCACGCTCGCATTGAACTGTATATCAGGCTTTACGCGAGTTGGAAATCGTATGCTTTTGACAAACAGCCGTGTTCCAGTGGCTTATTCAGATCCGCATCTATCACGATCAATTCGCACAGAAAAGATAATGTGCAAAAAAACCTACTGAAAAGGGAAAACTAAATTTTAAACAAAAAATTCAATAAAAAGACTTGAATTATGTTAACCATAACCGAAAATTTGTGTGTGTATAAATTCATTTGACGGTGCTGTCAATTGAAATTTCCTCAATTAAAGAGGAAAAAAACAAACAGAGTTGATGACAAATTGAGCCAGATATACATCAGTATCACATCGACGTTGGATTTGCGCAACTTTTCTTTTTCCAAATAATGTAAAATAATAAATGAAATCTCGATCGGCGATAACGGAAACGCAGCTAGCAACTGTATACGCGAAAAGCAAAGTTGCACTTTTTTTCATTCAACCATGTTCGAATCGTGGAAATTTTTGAAGATCACAGGTTTGCTTTTAGCAGCACCGGCAAATGAATATATACACAAACAAATGTTCGGTTATGGAATTTTTAGTTTAAAATTTGTTTTTTCCTTTTCAGTAAGGATTTTTGCAGATCATCTGCGGAGTGAGAATTGATCGTAATACATACGGATATGAATAAGCGACTGGAACACGGCTGTTTGTCAAAAGCATACGATTTCGAACTCGCGTAAATGTACAAAAATATGCTCGAAAGTGCTAAATGTTGCATTTTTAATGCAGGAAAAACACCGCATAACCCAGGGTTATTAAAATTTTGAGGATCCTTTTACTTTCTTTGAATGAATATATAATCATTTGTACAATAATTTGGGTTGTAGTAGCGCACGCTTGAAATATGGCCTTTTCGGCGATTTTTGGAGTGAGTTCTATGCAATGATGCAATTTTTTTGCAATACACACCGTGTTCTTTACGATAATAAGCGACTTGTTTTTCTACGATTGGGAATTTTTGGTTTTTATATTATCGGTTTAAAATACTTTAAATATCGAAGAGAAAGGACAAAGTTACTGAAAATCGCTATATAACAATTAGCTAATTCTTCAGGAACTAAACAAAACTAAAAAGTGTATATATTTTCTTCAACGCATTTTAAATCATGCGATACTATCGATAGTTTCAACGCAAAATATCGAAAACATCCAATGGGTTGACTATCGATAGTTTTACTGCTCTGATCGCTGAAAAAAAAACATTGAATCGCTAAAAAAAACACTACAAAGAGGTAGAAGACGGTGTAAACAAACTCCAAAAACGTCAAAAAAGCTACGAAAACTTTTTTTCTGAAATCGATTACAAATACAACGATTGCTGATTAGGAGAATTGTGCTCGTTGGTTCATGGGATGTTACTCTACTTTGATATGGCAATACTTTGGGATATTTTTAGCCATTGCGAGACGAATTCGCCTTTCTTCATTTAACTCTTGCCGTATTGTTGTTGTGTTGCAAATTTCTATGAATATTGAATAGCCAGCAACTAAATTTTAAAATAATATATTTAAAAAAACTGGAGAACTGTTAAAAAATAGTGGAATGTAGATTGAATCAATTAACGAGTCCAATCCGCTATACGAAGTGTTTTGAGCGAGGAAGAGTGGAAAAATAATGCGCAATACTTCGTGATAAGAAGTGCAAACAGGAACAGGATTTGCTGGTATATCCGCTGAAGGACAAAATTTGCCGTGTATTGTGGAGTGCGCGAAGTTCGAGCAATTATCCCAGTTGGATGCATAAATTGTTGATAAAAGCGTCGTAGTTCTATAAATAGCAGAGTGCGAGAGTTTGTTTTCATATGTATTCCAAACATTGTGGCGCTTAGATCTTCTGCTAAAAATAGCACCACATTCCAGTGCGCAAAATACTTTTATTGAGAAAAGGAGATTGCTTGGGAAAACGCAGTTCAATTTCTTCGCAAATTGAATTCAATTTGGTTTTGTATGAGAATTGTATGCATAAATAAAAAATTTTCGCGATCAGCTGTTTGCCGTTTACAGATGACCTCGCCATAGCGTCGTTGGTGGGACTGAAACAGTCGTGCATAAAATCAGAGAACTTAGATAGATAGAGAAGGTGCAAATTTTTGGAACGTAAA